AGTCAGACGCTTAACCGACTGCGCCACCCAGGCGCCCCTGTATCCAGAATTTTCAAAGAACTCATGTAAAGAAACAAACCGTCATATGTTGGTTCTATGAATGTAACATGGTAAAGTCAACAGTTTGTTAGTTTCTTAAAAAAACATAAAACTGTCATGTGGCACAGTAATTACACTTCTAGGTATATACATGGGACCCAAATACATGTTCTCACAAAGATTTGAATGTGATTGTTCATAGCAGCATTAATTTCCATAGGCAAAAAGTGGAAACAAATATCCTTCAACTGGTGAGTGGGTACACAAAATGTGGTATATCCATACAATGGATACTATTCAGCAATAAAAAGGAATGAATTGTTGGGATGCCTGGGTGGCTCGGTGGCTCAGTCAGTTAAAGGGTCCAACTCTTGGTTTTAGCCCAAGTCATGATCTGTCAATTGTGAGTTCAAGCCCCACATTGGGCTCTGTGCTGACAGTGTGGAACTTGCTTGGGATTCTCTGTCTCCCACTCTCTCTCTCTGCCCCTTCCCTGCTAACGCAGTCTCGCTCTCATTCAAAATAATAAGAATTTAAAAAAAAAAAAAGGAATGAATTGTTGACATATGTTAAAACATGGATGAACTTCAAGAACATTATATGAAGCGTAAGAAGCCATACATAGAAGCCGTGTATCGTTGGAGTCCATGTGTATAGAATATCCACAAAAGATAAATTTTTAGAGAAAGTTAGATAATATTGATTGCCTAGGGCAATGGGTGATAAATGGGCATGAGGGATCTTACTAGGATGAGGAAGATGTTCTAAAACTGATTTATGGAGATGCTCACACCACTGGGTAAAGTTACTAAAAATCATTGACCTGTATACTTACAGTGAGTTGGTTTTATTATATGTAAAATGTGTCTCAGTAAAGTATTTTCTCAAAAGCAAATGTGAGAAATAAAATTAGATAGCATTATTATCTTTAACCAGAAGCCTATAATGTTACATTATCTTTTTAAAATAAGGTCATCTGAAATGTGAGGATACATTTAAAAATTTTTCAGTTACTTTGAAGCCTTAATACTCTGATTCTAGAGCCAGGATCACTGGAAATAACAGTGGAACTCCCTGTCAGGCTGATGTTGGCATATGTGTATATACTGTTTTATGCAACCATATTTTCCTAGATCCAAAACAGAAAACCCACTGTATCTTCCTGGTGGTTAAAAATGAGTCATAGCACCTAGTTTACTGCTGTTACAAGATTGGTATTATTCCTGAAACATTTGATGAAAGACACCAAAAGCAGCTAAGTTTCGCTTTGCTTTCCATTCTCCATTTACTACATTTTTCTTTTTCTTTTGTTTTACTTTATTTGTTTTAGATCACTGTGTCCACTACTATGATCTTCGTAACACTAAACAGCCAATCATGGTATTCAAAGGACACCGAAAAGCAGTGTCTTATGCAAAGTTTGTGAGTGGTGAGGAAATTGTCTCTGCGTGAGTATTACTCTTCTGAGGTTGAACTTAACACAGAGCTCTATCATCATTTACCAGTTTTATAATGTCACTGTGGGTATCTGTAAAGAGTGACACTGTGCTATATGCACTTTTTCATAAATAGATTTTTTTATTGTAGAATTAAAATACATGTATATTCTGGTTTGTATTGCTCACTTTTATAGCCTATTTATGAATAAAATCCCGATGATGTTAGTTTTTAATGCAACCCCGCTTTCAACATTTGAACTTCAGATTGAATTTCAGCCACCATTTCTCCTTAAGAGAAAAACAACATAGTTGATGGGATAGAATGAGAAACGTTTTATTTATTAACATAAATTAACATGTTATTGTATATTTATCTGCATTGCAGTACAGTAGTATTGTTTTTGGTTTTAAGTAATATTTGGTTGATTCTATATTACTTGATGTCCCTATGGTTTCATGGTGAGTTTTAAATATGTTTTGAAAGTAACTTAAGTATGGCTGCTTATATTTGATAAATATCCTTTGAGAAGCCTTCTGCAGTAGAGAATTATAATGTAAGCTTTTATTTTGTTTGAAGGTTAACAAGAGGTCAACCAGATAAGTAAATCTCAGTTGCTAAAATATCACTGAGAAATCTCTTCTAACAAAGGCAGCACATTCTTTCTGTTATCCATTGCGTAGCTCTCTTTATTTTATATTAGCCTAGTAATACTTTCTTAATTTCTCTTTTTCATATCTATTATTTCTTTTCATGCTTACTGACACCTTGTTTTCTTCTTTTCAGTTAATTTTTTTTTTCCTTGCTTTCTAATTTTTAATCTTAGGAGATTATTAATGACAGTGCCTTGGTATTAAACACTTGGTACCTCCCTCCTCATCTACCTCTATACTAGTTACTCTTGGTAAGAAGTTGGTAATTTGAGTTGACTTAGCAAGGTAATTTGAACAGAGTTACAAACAAGGGGGAAAAAGTGAGAACTGAGTTTTAAGGGAAGGTAACGTAGGGTAATTCGTTCACAAACCTAAATTAGTGTTAACCAGTCAAAATATATCCCATCTTTAGGAGTAGTAATGGGCAGTAAATAACTAAAGTTTTATTCAGGTTCAAATGTGGATAGTACATTATATGGCAGAAGTATTTTTCTTCAGTTTTGATTTATAAGTGTTAAATGAGTTGGATTTCAGCGAACTGAAATACATGTATCTTATTTGTCTAAATTGGGAAGTTTTAGTCGACCTAATTAATGTGGATTTGTTGTTTGTAATTTTCACCAATCTCTTGTCCTTCTTAGGTTTTATAAGTCCTGATTTTTTTTTCTTGAACATATTTAGGGTTTAGAAGTTTTTAGAATAAGTTTATCCACAAGTGTATTTGGAAATATTAAAAAGTAATACTAAAATATACATATTGCTGCAACCTCTGAATTCTTGGCCAATAAAAATATATATACACATAAAGAAATACTTAATGCAACATTGTCAAGCAAAAAACCACATTTAAAACAATATAAATTTCTATTGAAAAAATGATGAGAAGCAATAGAGGAATATTTAAAGAGCTGGAGTTTGGCTTCTGCAATAAGACAGTTTCTATCTTGGCTTTGTTGTTTACTAGCTATGTATGGTATCTTCAAAATATCCTTAGCCTTCTCATTCTCAGTTGTCTCATCTCTAAAATGGAGCTAATTACAGAAATTACATTGTGTGTCCTTAAATGAAGTAATAAATGTAAAACTTTCAGCATGGTGCCCTATTCTGTGAATGTTACAGTAAGAGAAAACATGATTTATTATGTAGTCATTAACAGATATCAAAGTGTATTTATTTTACAGAAAAATTATAAAGCAAATTCTTGAATAAGGGATAAGCAATTTAAAACATAATGTGTATGGTATGATTGGATTTGTGTTACAGAAAGAGAAAAAACATGGTATTTTATTCAGGTTCTAAGACTGTATGATAAGTCTCTGCATGATAGGATTACCAGCGATCTTTTTTTTTTTTAATTTGTTTAATGTTTATTTATTTTTGAGAGACACAGAGTGCAAGTGGGGAGGGGCAGAGAGCAAGGGAGACACAGAATCCAAAGCAGGCTCCAGGCTCTGAGCTGTCACAGAGCCCGATGTGGGGCTCAAACTCACAAACTATGAGATCACGACCTGGACCAAACTCAGACACTTAACCGACTGAGCCACCCAGGTGCCCCACGAGTGATTTTTATATGCGATTATTTTTTGGTAAATAACTGCATTTGTATATAATTTCAGTAAATGAATTACTTTATATAGACTATCCCAGTTATTCATACCATTGTACCCCTTAGGTACAACTAACTGTCAAAGTAGTTTAAATATAGTATACCAATACAGTTCAGCAGTTGAAAAGTAAACCAAGTGGCACAGATTGTATCCCTAAAATTAAGCACAATTCCCAGTGGAACTTTGTTATTTGATGATTGTGGTATGATGGTATTGATGATGTTTATTAGTAAGCACTTCCTACATGCCCAGGGACTACTGAAAGCCTTTGAAATGAATTTACTTTTCACATCTGATAGAATTCCTCTAATTCAATAATGTAGGAATCACTGTATTTCACATAACTAATGAACAAAACTGAGGCCAAAGAGGTTATGTAACTTTCCCAACTTCAAAAACAAATTAATGGTATATATTGAGTATTGTAACTCAGAAAATCTGGCTCCAAAATCTGCATTCTAAACAACCAAACTGGATTGCCTCTAATTAGTACTGATGAGTTTCAGACCATGAAATCTTTTTTTAAATTTTTTTTTTTTTCAGACCATGAAATCTTAAATACATTCTAATTTTTTGTGTTTACCTCAGCTCAACAGACAGCCAACTAAAACTGTGGAATGTAGGGAAACCATACTGTCTACGTTCCTTCAAGGGTCACATCAATGAAAAAAACTTCGTAGGCCTCGCTTCCAATGGCGACTATATAGCTTGTGGTACGTAAAACTGTCTTTTCCTGGAACTTTTTATTTAACAGGCATTTGTCACTGAAATTGCATTCACTAGATGTAGGCTACATACCAAGTCAAGAATTGATCTGTATGCTCAGAAAGTAGCATATTGAATTCTTCTTAGATTGTACTGGAAGAAGCATTAGTTCTTCCCTCCTTCACTGAACACAAACCCTGTCCACATGAAATAGCATGAAATCGTTAAATATGTTTTGTAATTGTTCTTCATAGTAATTTCTGTAGATATTACGTAAAAGAAAATATTAATTTCTGCTAATGACCTAATTTCAGAGATACTGTCTTAAGCTTGATATTCATTTTCCTCTATAGAGTGCCCTCTTCAGTAAGCAGTTTTAGATCGTCTTGATCTGTTATTCTAGGGCTTTTTTTTTTTGTAATTTATTATTATTATTATCTTTTGTAATTTACACAAATAGGAATCAGAAGTAAAAGAAGTCACTTTAGGTTTTGTGAATATGCTACATGCACCTAATGCCCAAATATATGAGCTTTCATGAATTCTTTCAAGTGACTTGACTTTTATTTAGTGAAGTTGTATATAATCTAAACCCTTCCAGAACAAATCTCTTGCAGTTATTCTACTTTGATAGCCTGCTCAAAAATAATAGGTTTCTAGACTGCTTATCTAATGGAGTAATATCTTTATTGGAGAATGGGACATAAATTTTGTAGGTTGTTAAAATCTGCCTTTGTAAGTGCTGTAACTTTCTTTTTTCCTCTTAGAAGTCTTTCTAAACATCACTTAAGATTCATGGTATAATAATAAGTTTCTGGTCTTTTTTAGACCTCTGCTATCATAAATGGGTTTTTGCAGTAATTTCAGCCTTACAATTACCAATGTTATATCATTTGACAATTATTATTTCTTTAGATTAGTAAAGTGTAGCTTTTCTCTGTGAATCTTTTTCTCACATGATTCCCAAGAAATCTTGTGCTCTGATCTTCCAAATTCAACCATGAAAGATTTGTCTTTGAGCTTAAACATTGAGTAATAATCACCTGATGAATGTGATGTCCTAATTCTGAGTTCTCCCATTCTAGAAAAATTATTTACTTAAAAAATTTTTTTTAGGAAGCGAGAACAACTCTCTTTACCTGTACTATAAAGGACTTTCTAAGACTTTGCTAACTTTTAAGTTTGATACGGTCAAAAGTGTTCTGGATAAAGACCGAAAAGAAGATGATACCAATGAATTTGTTAGTGCTGTGTGCTGGAGGGCATTGCCAGATGGGGTAAGTTTTCATATCAGTTTTTCACCTTGATGTCTCATGTAACACTTTATGTATACATATGTGAATTTTTGTTAGCTTAAAATACAAATTGATATGTGATAACACATTTCCTTGCTTAGTATTGCATCATCACAGGAAACAGGCATTTTAGGTAGTAATTGAAATATGTCACCAATGGAACAGTGTCCTACTGATGTAATGTCTCTCCTGTGTAGCCATAGCATCTTGCGCATACCTCTGTTTTAGTGTTATCACATTGTCTCTTTATATCTCTTCTAGAAGACTGGAAATTTCTAGGTACACACTGTGTCTCATTTTCCTTAACGATCATTTGAAGTACATACTCAGTAAACATTGAGCTGAACCTAATATTAGCAGGAAAAAAACTTGATGTAGGTAAAGGAGAGTACCCTATATGTACACCTAATTAAATACTATTTCAGAGCAAAATTCCTGTCTAGAAAATACACTTATATAAGAATGTTTAAACACATTTAATTCCTTAATAAGAAAGTTACATTTCTAGATTGCAAAAAAACCAGTTTTCTCAAACTTGTTACTTATTAACAAATTATTCTCAAACTTGTCACGTTTTAAAGTATAAACATTCTCATAAGTTATGTGAAGAAATAATTGTTTTATTATCTTGATTTTTATAAGCAGTAGTCACTCACTAATGTCATCTTATTAAAAAATAGCTCTTTAGGTGCTTCCTTGGTTAGTTTTACTTTTGATCAAAAAATTTCTTACTTGATGGGTACTTTAAGAATTCTGAGTTTTGGGGCGCTTGGGTGGCTCAGTCGGTTAAGCGTCTTGACTTCGGCTCAGGTCATGATCTCATGGTTTGTGAGTTCAAGCCCCGCGTCGGGCTCTGTGCTAAACAGCTCACAGCCTGGAGCCTGCTTTGGATTCTGTGTCTGTGCCATCATGCTCATGCTCTGTGTCCCTCTGTCTCTCAATAATAAATAAACATGAAAAAAATTAAAAAACATTCTGAGTTTCAGGTACTATTTAACTTTAACTAGATATATTCCATTCCTATCATATTTAAAATTAGTGTGACTCAACTTCCTGTCTTGGCAGTGGCACACTAGGTGATCTGTACTAACCTTTTCCCCAAATAGAACTAGAAAAGTTGGACCACGTATATTTATTTTAAAAACAATAACAGAAACCTATTTGAAGGCATTGGAATGTAAACAAGATAGAAAAGAATTACTGGCCTAGGAATGTGAGCCTGGCTTTTGAGTATGCTTTTCTTCTGGGAGCCTTTGCCAGTCTTGTTGTAATGGCTGAGAGCACTTCTAGTAGCCTCACAAGGGCACAGGGATTGGAGTCTAGTATTCACCACTGTGGGGGTGAACTCACTGTGGTTCAGGTCCCCAGAGGGCTATAGTCTAGGGTAAACCACTAGAAGATAAGCTCTCACTGTGATTGCAACTCAACTTCATATCATATCAGTCCCGAAATTAAATTGAAGTGATCCTGGATTGGTAGTTAAATTAAAATTAAATCCTCTTTGAAAGAGGATCTTCTAGAGAAGATCATCTAAGGACTTTATTTTTTTCAAAAGCCCAGATACACTAACTAGGTCACAATAAAAAACATGCATAGGAAAAGGCAAGAGATACGAATAAGTTCAGCATAAGCAGTGGACAATGGAAACAAAATCACAGCAGCTCTGGATATTGGAATTGTCAGACATAGCTTGAAAATAACCATGCTGACAGGGAAAAAGACAAGATTGAAAATTTTAACTGGAAACTAAAAAAAACTATTTTAAAAATGAAAATCCTAGAAGTGAAAAATTATAATTACCAAAACTAAGAACTCAGTGGATGGATCATAGGGAAGATAAGACAGAGTTGAGAATCAATGAACTTTTATAGGTAAGCTAGGAGAAAATATACAGAAGGAAGCATGGAGAGACAAATATTAAAAAAAAAAAAATACAGAAAAGAGGTGGAGGATGAAGTAAGTTTAAAATATTCAATAAGAAACCTCAAAGGGGAGAAAAGAAGTAATGCAATTAAACAAATATTAGAAAGGATTATCGTTGAGACCTTCATAAAATTGATGAAAGACATCAAGGCAGAGATTCAATAAGCTCTTGTGCCCTAAAGAATAAATCTACAATGTGAGTAAAGATTTAATATTATACTTGGACCATGAAGAGACTTAGGCCTGCCTGAAAATCTGACCTTGGGTCTGTCTTCTCATAGTAACTTGATGGAAATGTGTGGAGTTAAGACAAACATTGAATGTTATTGCTACAGGTTAGTCTCTTAAACTTACTGTGAAACCCCATCTGTAGTATTGCACCTGGACTTAACCGTGAGTTGGCGCAATATTGGCCTTACATCTATCCAAAGTGAACGATACGAGACTGGCAGGAAACCAGGGCAGTCTCTGTCCAGAACCACATGCGCCTTAACTGTCCTTGGCAGCCGTGCGAGCTCTGTGTGTGTTGTTCGGGAGAGATGGAAGTAGCTATGCATGTGAATAGTTACTTGGCCTCCTGATGAGTGAGGGATGTTGTGCATGCTGAATTTCCTGTCCCGTACACCTCTGTGAAACTAACTAACCTAGTGCAAGATTACAGCTAATTGTGTCTCATCCTGTGACCCCTGCTGGTGTTGGACAGTCACACTTTGACATGTCATAATAAAACTGTTGAAAATAAAATGCAAAGGGAGATTATTGAAATAAGACAAAGTACTCTTTTCAGAAAGCCAACAATTAGACTGACAACCAACTTCTCATTAAGCAATAGAAACCAGAGGTAGTGGAACCAGGTCTTCACTGTGTAAAGGGAAATAAATACCTGCCAATCTCAATTTCTCAATTCAGTGAAAATCTCTCCAGACACAAGTAAAATAAAGACACTTTTAGATAAATAAATATGAAGAATTTGCTACCAGTAGACTTACACTAAAGAAAACCTGAAAGGATCTTTTTAAGGCAGAAGGAAAAGATGCAGAAGACAAAGGTCAGAGATGCAGAAAGGAATGGAAAAAGGTGAAGGAATAGAAATGGTGAAAAGGAAGAGAAGTGGTAATACTCAGTAAATCTAAATGCGTATTGACTATATAAAGCAATGATGCCTTGTTATTAAAGCCAATAAGCACATAGAATTAAATATTTGACAGTAATAACATAAGGCAGAAGGATAAATGTAATTAGGGTGTTCTCAGGTCTTTGCCTTGTCAGGGAAGGAGGTAAAAAAAAGAAAAAGCTAATTAATACTAGACTGAAGAGGATGCATATTGTAGTTTATAGGATAAGCTTTAAGTAAGTTCTTGTGGGGCTGGTTTAGTGGTGATGAATTCCTTCAGTTTTTGTTTGTTTAGGAAGACATTTATCTCTCCTTCTATTCTGAATGACGGACTTGCTGGATAAAGGATTCTCGGCTGCATATTTTTTCGGTTTATCACATTGAAGATTTCCTGCCATCCCTTTCTGGCCTGCCAAGTTTCAGTAGATAGGTCTGCCACTAGTCTTATGGGTCTCCCTTTGTAGGTTAGAGCCTGTTTATCCCTAGCTGCTTTCAAAATTTTCTATTTATCCTTGTATTTTGCCAGTTTCACTAGACATGTCGTGCAGAAGATCGATTCAAGTTACATCTGAAGGGAGTTCTCTGTGCCTCTTGGAT